ATTCCCATATGAATTTTTGACAATTATTTCTCGTTTTTATTTATTTGGTCATGTAGTTCTTGGAGGCCACACTTCTAAATTTGCAAATACCTAAAATTGAGCTGATAAATAGGATTGTAGATCACCAACGTAGATTATCTATGTCGAATGATCTGGGGCCTATTCGAGTTAGACGGGATTGGTGTGACCACCAGCTAAAGTCGAAGTCACGCGTCACAGTCAGCACATTACTTGGGTTAGCTTCTCGTCGTATCGAGATATTATGGATACTATGAAAGCCGTAAAACACAAAGGACCTTGTTAAGGAAATATATTGGTCCTAATAGGTACAAGCAAATCTGCGACCTCCACCGCAGGGGCCAGTCCACGGCGTACGACTAACTGATGTATGTTCAGTCAGTTGGTCAGCTACAACTTAAGACCAGGTAAACAGATGTGTTGGTCCAAGTCGCCACACTTCATTAGCACAACAAGATGAACACCTAAATTCATAGAATCAGTTACTTCAGTAGTAGTAAAACAAAAACATTTTATATAAGGATATGATACAGTGAGAAAGAATTAGTTTGTAGAAAGAAATGTATGAAGTAATTTTAATCTGACGGTTCAAGGGAAGGCAAAGAGTGCATGCACATACGCGATTGTGATTGATTATGGGTCATATCACCTAGAGTCTAAAACCATTGATCACGATAGTCACGTGGACCCCAACCAAGTAGTCTACCTCTAACAACATGGCTCAGACTACAAGTTAGTAACTTCAGCACTGATGCCCCTAACTTTCTTCCAACCATCCCTAACACAAATCAGTATTGCGCGTCGCGGCAATCGGTGTAACATGTGACTCAGCCATCTCAGCCCATGAAGATATACAACCTCATCAATTGATTTACCATCATTCCCTAATATTCTGCATCTAACCTAACTATTACTTACCCGGTGATTCCAGCCAATGCGAGCTATACTTCTGAGGCATCTGTAGTCAAATACTAGTAGATTACGAGCATCTTATACTCTTAATCGCCATGTTTCGCAGCCATGAAGTAAAACAGAACGAACTGCTGCATAGTATACTCGTCCCTTAGTTGATAGATGGATATCTCGCCTTCGCCACAGTTGACATAAGTTGGCAAAAGCCATACGAACTTCTTGAATCCTTTCAGAGATTTCGTCAGACACCAACCCGTCAGGGATGATCAGACTTTTAAGATATCTGAAGTTGTCAACGCGTTCGACTACTTCACTCCCTATCCTTAGTTCAGGTGCTGACGCGGGCCGGTCATGAAGCAGCAACGTGCATTTAGAGGGTAAGAAACGCATTCCAAACATTCTGGCATTGTTGCTTGGTGTTACCAAAATACTCTGCATTTTATCAGCGTCTTCACCAAACAAGACTATGTCATCTGAATATTATAAGTAAAAATTTGGGCTTCCTGGTGGATCAATGCTCGAGAATTCAGTCGACAATAACGTTATTTCCATCAGTAGGTCTATGATGAAATTGAACAAAAAAGGAAATAGTGGACAGTTCGCCATAAGCTCCGACTCGACTGGTAATGTTTGAGTGAAGAACCTTCACAAGGTTTATGTACTTCCGAGGTATGCCTTTCAATGACAGACACGGTCACAGTACTTCTTGGTCTACAGAGTCAAATGCAGCTTTAGGTCAAGATAAACTATCATTGCTGGACGCCGATAAGTATGCCTGTGTTCTAGAACCTGACGAATGACGAAAATGTGGTTGATGCAGCCACAACTAGGTCTGAGGCCAGTCTGATTGTCTCGTGTTTGCAGTTAAGCGTCTGATAATTATCGAAGCTAGTATTTTAGATGCTACGTTAGTCAAGCTAATCCCTCTATGGTTATCACAGGATGATTTTGACCCCTTCTTATATATCGGGACAATAAGTGATTGCGACCAGTCAGATGGGATTACGTCCACCTTCCGGATTTTAGCTAAAATATTAGTTGACCTAATCGTTAAAGCTGAACTGCCATCATTAAAGACCTCTGAAGCTAATTCATCTGGACCAGCTGCTTTTCCTCGTTACAGATTAGCTATAGCTTTTTGAACTTTATTTAGAGTTTAAGTGGGGACTACTTCAATATTCCATTCAGTCTGTTTGGGAATGGTGAGTAGTTGTAGAGTAGTTGAAGGCCAGCTGAACTGCTCCCTAAAGTGTTCCGATCATCGTTCTAAACGTCTCAGCTGAGTACAGATAAGTGTAGTCTTTTTCCGAGATCGTCTCACTTACATTTGACTTCTTAATCCCACTTTCTTCTATTAGTCTGAAAAGCTGTCTGATGTTAGCTACAGCAGCTACCTTTTCCATCTCTTTTGCCTTGACAGTGTACGACTGCTCATGGTCGTATCTTAGACTTTCGGTTAATCTAGATCTGATTTCTTTTCGCTCTTCATCGTATTTAGAGCCTGATGGGATGAGTTTACGAGAATCTATCAGTTCAATAGACTTAGTACAATTCCATTGGTGTTTCGTGACCCTTTGGTTTAAATAATTAACAAATGTTGCTGCGGTTTCCACAGCTGTTTGTATATCTTTCCAAGCAACATCTGGGTCAACCTTGTTTTCAGAACTGCCTAAGTGTGACCTCAGTTGTTCTTGGAATATATTTTTGGCTTTCTCATCACTGAGTTTAACCTTAGTAGATCTTAATGTGACTTCTCTGTGTCTAATGAGGCGCAAGCAAATGAATGCATGACAGGAGTCTAAAGACATATTCCAGAAGGAGCGGCAGTTTTCTGTCGAGCCTCGCCAACGATGAGTGATGGCAATATGGCCTATTTGAATTCATCATTGGTCTAATGAAAAGGTTCGCAATGTTATACGATATCTTTCCTTATGCTTAAAATTAGTGCTTGCTAAAAATAAGCGATTGTCTGGGCACAGTTGCAACAAACGGCCACCATTATTTGTCCTCTGAATCGCAATACTAAAATACCCACCTAAATGTCTTTCTGTTTGGTTTAAGATACCTACATGGGCATTAAAGTTACATGCTACGAGTACTATATCTAAGCGTTTAGCTTTATGAACAAGTTCAGAAAGCTTTCTGTGAAAGTTATCTTTTACTTCATCCGGGTCGCAGTCGGTGGGAGCATAGGCAGAAACGACGAAAAGGCAACGACGTGTCTCCCTATCCTTCCGAGTTCTAGCGGGACCGTTTAGCCGAACAGCACAAAGGTGACTGTCAATAGAGATTCACTATAATAGGGCTTGTTGTACTATCGAGCTATGCCTACACCACCATTCCACGAGAACTAGCCATCGGGTCGAAATATACAAGAAGGGTATATCTCGTCAGTTCTCCGTTTTTGAGAGGTGCGGTCAAGTGAATTACAACACAAAAATCCTGTATGCGTGATTCGTAGAAATATCATACCTCAATGGTACAAGATTCTATGGTTTTAGCCAAGGAAGCCTGCTGGCCAACGCAACATAGGATGCGTACGTAGGTTGTTTCAATGTGCAGTTTGCAGCGAGGTTTCGGTAGACCTGGGGCAACGTTTCGCGCACTAGAATCGTTGACCATGGTAACACTTGATGAATGGCCTAAAAGAGGAAGTTTAGAGTTGAATGTCAAACAAGGAGGAATAGTAGTGAGTGAAGAGGGACATTGATTATGAATACAGTGGTCTTGAGCACTGTTAGAGGAATAAGAACGCCATCACTCCCCGGTTGCCCACACTGTGGATGGTTTATTCTGGAGGTACCTGAAAAGGAAATCGGGTTAGAGGTGGTTTTAGTGACCTCAGAGCATGACCGTAGTACCCGAAAGACAACTGCTTCAGACCTTTTTGTGAACAGTTTTCGTGCTACCCCCGTACTTGTTGAGTCCTTACCACTGGGGACCGAAATCTGTGGGATAAGGTGTGGTGTGCACTTTCAGGGTCGACCTTTTCTAACCCCACCCTTCCTTGTGAGAAGGCAGAATCACTGTTGTCCTGGTTATCTGAAGGAAACGCCTTACTGCGGTCAGAACTCTGTACAATCAGCAGTATGACTTCGCTCTCGGACCCTAGGTTTGCCGCTTTTAGTCTTAACGTTCTTCAGTCAACCTGTCTGGCATGGTAGGACTTTGACGAACGATCGTTCCAGCCAGTATAGCTTGATTGTTTCATCACAACAGGCAAGCCCGGCCATCACGTCAATGTAACAGCAGCGGCCGGGGATATGTGTGTCCCTGAAATTCACGGAGTTCGATTGACTGTTCGAAATCCAGTGACTCAACTGCCGGATGATTTGGCTAGAACTCAGTGACACTTCACTGGCACTACAAGGTATTTTATGAAAATGTTGGAATCGTTAACACCAAATAACACAGCAGCAGGATCTGGACCATCATGAGTTCCTCAAGGAATAACATGCACTTTATTATACGGAATTCATTTGATCTCGATTGACTAATTCACTCTGTGGAAGTATACTCAACACAGTCCGTTATTATTTTCTTAAAATTAACCTACAAAGAAAGAAATTTGCTACAGATATATGAGTACTGAAAAAATAACAAGAAATGGAACCAGGTAACTTGACGCAAATTGAGAAATGTACCTGTTGTACAGTCATTTGTATAATTAGGTTTTCAATGACATCTGGGCCAAATATACAGCTGAAGGAATAGTCATGATAAAATGTACCAAATACTTTAATGCATTTACAGACACCAATGAAGTATAGGGAACCGTATATTTATGGTAGTGCCATTCTACGCATAAGGGAGATAGTGAAGGCCTGTGTTTGGTTAAGGGCAGGATATGTGGTTGGTTGATCAACTGGCTAGTTGATGATGAGTTGACCAAAGATACAGAGAGAAAATAGAAAGCCAGAACTTAATTTGATCATACCGAGAAAGATCGATAAATTTATGATCAAATACTGTTTATGTCGACAAATAATTACAAACCTCGAAACAAAACAGATTTTCACCAAAACAATTAATAATTCTGTAAGATAATTTAACACAAAAATAATTTTAAATAAAACCTTTGGTCATTAGTTTGAGATTTGACTTTAAGGAGTGGAACTAGTTTTACAACCTATCTATATATTAGTTAAGTTTACGCGCCAGTTTGACCGGTTGTCGCAATCCAGCTGTCGTAGTGTCATGACTACGTCGTGGGTTTCAGAGTGCAAGGACTTATCTAACACTGATTTGGTTCATATCGCCAAACTTGCTGAGCAGGCTGAACGATATGATGACATGGCGGCAGCTATGAAGCGGTATACCGAAGCTTCGGGGAATTTAGGGAACGAAGAACGGAATTTACTATCAGTGGCATATAAAAATGTTGTGGGTGCTAGAAGATCAGCATGGAGAGTGATTTCTGGAAGCGAGACGAAAGCAGCAAATGACCATGTTAAAAGTCAAATAGCAGAAGAGTACCGTATTAAAATAGAAAAGGAGTTGAATGCAATCTGTGATCAGGTTTTGGTAAGTTGGACGTGAAGTATTAAGGATGTTTTTAGGCTCTGCTCAAAGATTATCTGCTTGTACAGGAAAGTAACGATGAGAGCAAAGTTTTCTTTCTGAAAATGCAAGGTGACTACAATCGGTATCTTGCTGAAGTTGCCAGTGATAAGACTCGAGCCGAAGTGGTCCAAAGATCACTCGATGCTTACACGAAAGCTACTGAGGCTGCCAATAAGTTGCCCACCACTCATCCTATCCGTCTTGGTTTAGCTCTTAACTTCTCTGTGTTTTATTACGAAATACAAAATAATTCTCCCCAGGCGTGCCAGTTAGCTAAATGCGCCTTCGATTCAGCAATAGCAGAACTAGATCAGCTTCAAGATGATTCCTACAAAGACAGCACACTGATTATGCAACTTCTAAGAGACAATTTGACGGTAAGATTTCTATTAGTTTTTCTAATATGACTAATTAGTTGTGGGCCAGTGACCAAACAGCTGAGGGAGATGTTGAAAATGACAGCTAAACTCCGTTATGTAATATTTATTATAAACCTCGTGTTATACAAGATCATGTCAATTTTCTGATTGTTTACCGTTATTTTGCACGTATTGGTGGAAGTTACAGTGCTATGTTGTAAATTACTCAGGAGTTAGTATGGAAAATCGAGTACCGCAGTTCACTGATGTTAGAATTCCATAAAATGATCAGGCACATAAATTGTTCTCATAGTTCATTTCGACAAATATCAGTTATCTGGAATTGTCATTGTACCACTTAGTAAATGATCTCCATAACGATTTGAAGTTAAATTCCTCACAATTTCACTAAATTCGAATATCTCGCTAGTTAAGCCGCGTGTTACTTGTGGCTATCCTAGTTTATACAACGGTACCACATCGTATAAGATATGTGGTTGCAACGCAAAGTCTTCATATCTGTATGCACTGTTTGCAACCGGATAACAGGTTTGAACAGTAGACTGAATTCTTAGGAACTTGGTACTGAAAAGTTTCCGTATTCTGACTAGTTCAGTATCAGTTCACTCTGGTCCGGTTGCGTAAACTGGCCCCTTAACGTTAATGGACCTATAAAATGCCTTCATCGTTTTCAAACACTCCTGTGTGTTCAATCCAGGTGATGTCCATAACTTTTACCAAAAGCCGACTGTTACAATTTAGTGGTCCGATTGTAAGTTTTAAGATATACAGTCACAAACTTTTGGCTTTTCGGAGTGGCTTCATACATCACCTAGCCAAAACGGGGAGCCAGTAAGATACATCTTTTGTTTATTTGGCGTTTCAACAGCAACTTATTGTGGATTAGCGAGCGTAGGTCTGGAATTAAGTGCCACGATGAATAGCCGTATGGCAGTAAGCTCTAATTCGATCGATTTCTGATTATCTTTTGGGCTCTAAGGTTACTGACTGGTGCTTACATTAGTGCTTTTGAGTGGCATAGTTACATTTGCTCTCTATCTTCATCTCGAACCCGAGTTTTCTGTATTACTTTCCTGTTTCTTGCCTAATACTGGGACTATTACTACCCCTACTACTCTGGGATTTGTCTCGATAATTTTATCTGGCTGTGTTAACCTGGTTTGTTAACACTAAGTGTTGGAAACGTGTGTCAGATTGCAAATAGCTGGTTAGTTGACGTAAATGACCTACTTGTAGCCAACAAAACCGAAGCAACATCTAACTTACCTGGAGCACTGAATGATCGAATGAGTACAGATTTCCCATGAATTAGAAAGTGAGTTTAGGATGGTCCATCGGTCTTTATGTAAGTTACTAAAGAACCTAGATGGTGTACAGAGTACCAACGATTACTTGCTATTTGACCTGTCCGGAAGCTACATGGTTTCTTGGCAGTCGTCCCCAACTTTGCTATTCTACAGCATTGATGGGTTACTTACAAGACCGATCACGAACACTTCGTCCTTCACCTGAAATTAAACAGTCATTCGGAGCTATAAAGGATAAGCTAAACACATAAGCAGTACTAGCAGGTATGACCGACCAGACACCTTTAGCCGTACTAAACGAAGAGAATAGGACATTGGAAGCACTGACCGCTCCAAAATATTACACTGCATGCAAACGGCGACTATTGTCGTTCTACTTAAATGTGAAACGCTCAATAGATTTTAGGAGAAAATAGCTTGACGATACTTACTGCCTGCGAATTGCTATCGGAGGCTTCTGTAAAGATTCATGATAAATATGGTCCGCGCGAAACACCAGTTTGAGTTCATATCACAATTCTCAATAAAAGGTATGTAAAGGGTGGTAACCATATTAGGCTCACCAATTTTAATAGCCCATCTGACTCGATAATATGTTAATCCCCTACATATGCATCACGGATTAATCTCCTAATAATCTAGGACTTATGAAATATTCACAACGCGGGATTGAAAGGCAGATGTGGAATGTTGGGAATATCATGTAGATCACTAATATAGATGATTTGAGCTGAATGACTGAGGGCGTACTCGAGTAAGGAGGGAGTAGTGTGACGAAACAAGTAACTTCGAAGTCGCACCTAACGTGGATTGCCGTCTCATCGTACCACGGCACTATGGCTGTTCTGAAGACCGTGTAACGCAAAGGACTTTACCGCAGGAATATATTAGTAAGAGTAGGTAGAGGAATAAAGTGCGACCATCACCGCATTGGCCAGTCCATTGCGTGTAGTCAACTGGTGCGTGTTGACTCTGGACTTGACGAGGATCGGTGAGTTTTTAGGCATTTAGTAACACGACCGCCGGGTGATTTGGTAAGGGTCCAGTGACATTTCATTTGCTCTACACGTGTGTCAAACAAATGTATTGAGAGACCGAGAGAGTAAGTATTCGAACTGAGTTGGAAAATTAACATATCACCCAATTCAGTGAGTAAGCTTATGCCTTAGTGTATTTAGTCCAAGTAGACAAACAATGAGTAAAATAAGGAAGTAAGTGCAGGCAAACTGACTAATTTCATACAAAATGAACGATATGGTTAATTGGATTAATGTGGACACAAAGATTGCTCGTGAGGATCATAAGATTATCGGAAGGATAGAGATGACTCGCTCGTTACGTGCTCTATGGTTTTATTTCCATTCGAACAGTGATATGTGTTGATATACGCGAATTAGTTTAGTCTAATTCTGATTTCTAACCGACTTGTCTGTGGGATTGGAGAAGCGTTGATGTTCTGAGTTTATCGTATGGATTAACTTTCAGGCGTAATACAACACATCGTTCAACTGATAGCTGTAGTCGAGTTTAATTAGTGTATTGGGTCATGCTAACCATTACGTCTGATTTTGATTTGTATCCGACCTGCAGTGGATTGCGTCAAATGTTCTTCATGTTTATCGTTTGTCTACATGTTAGTGCTAGATAGACTAGCTATACACATATATAATTTTATGCAGCTGGAGCTCACTATTAATCCTCACAGAAATGCTGTTTGAGGCCAAGTACACAAAGTTATGTAAATTAACTAGGTTACCTTAAATTCGGGATTTGTGCGGCTAGCTCCATGGATAAAAATCGATTTGACGCTAGTAACAAAAACAAGAACCCCCTCTGGGGCTTCTGTCGATCTTAATCTCTAGACCATTAAGTTGGTTTATATAGGCCGTTGATTGTAATCCTTGAGTACATCTCTAAAAGTGATTTTCGGAAAAGTAATGTAAATTAAGTACCATTTCTATTTCCAAGGTTTATTTGAGACTTTGCTTTTGAAATAATTTACAATATTTACTGATAGAGAAGACTTGTACTTAGGATGGATGACTTTAATGAACTACATGCTAATGAATATATCAACTCCAAAATTGAATTTCTGATCATGTCTGTTACGATATATATATATATATATATATATATATATATATATATATATATATATATATATATATATATATATATATATATATATATATATATATATATATATATATATATACTTCAAAATGGTATTATTTGCAAATTAGAAAGGTCATTCAATAAAGGTCAGGATGATTTGGAGTAAAGTGTTCAGTCACACGATAACGGTAAGAAGCCCACACTTACTGCTGGTAACTTCTCAAAATCTCATGATTCACATTCACATGGGAATATTGAGCCAATTTTTCATCCTTGTGTGGATGCAGCTTGTGATATATTGATGCCTCGATTCACAACTTATTGCAGTACAACAAATGGTCAAAATTTATTCGGAAATAAAAAACGTCTGGATAAGTTACTGTCATTTTTACCGGTTGAGTTAAAAGATCTTCGTGAACGACTTTTAGATGAGTGGTCTACCGATACTCAAGAAAACAAAGAAGAAGTATCTACAAAAAGATGGAACACATTAAGAAAGTTTTTGAAAGAAAATGGTCGCGCAAATATTTTGAAGGAAATAGTCTTAAATTTCACATACCCTAGACTAGATATTAATGTGTCAACAGGTAAAGTCATTTTACCGGTTCGTTTGCCACGTCATATTGACGTTAAGTTACTAAGCATCATGTTTACACATGTATAGTTATTTTATCAATTACATGTTTTGTTAAACAGCATGTCCATAATCACAATCTAAAAATCACATAGTAAGTATCAGTTAGGATACTTGAAGCAAGATAGTTCAAGTAAGCAAGCCATGCAATTTCGGTTAGTGGTAATGCACTATCTTTTCATCACACTTCTACTGATCATTGAATAGAATTCATTTGTACGATTTAATTCTTCACTCGGGTTCTCGGCTTTTAGAGTTTACAGTAAATTGTTTTATTCATGTTCATTAATGCCACTGATCTTTTATTTTACTATTAACTATAAAAGGAGCAAGTTTTTGAGCAGATGACCATTTACTCATTAGATGTACAGATGCGTAGTCAAAATGACCTTATTTTTTATTCAACTTACGGGAGTACTTCGGTACGGTATATTCTCACTTAATATATATTGGAATGATATTCATATCATTCCCAAGCATACCGGTCGTAATAAGTCTTAACGACCTACTAGATGAATCATTTGGCTGCTTTCAATCTTACCGCTCTTCAATCAACTTGTCTGGTATAGTAGGACCTTGAGAAACGATTGCTCCAGCCAGTATAGCTCGATTTTTTCATTACGATAGGCAAGCCCGACCACCACGTCAAGATAGCAGCAACGGACGGGAATGGATGCACCCGTGCCATTGAGAACGATTTTGAGCCATGTAATTCAGTCTCTTACCATTGGTTACGATAGTCACGCGGACCCCAACAAGGTAGTCTGCACCAAAATGGCTCAGTTCAACTGTTAACGACTTGATGATTTAATGCCATTCTTTATTTTGACCTCTCCTAGCTCTCTTCGTGCCTACCCCTACACCAGAGAACATCGGCCGTTGTGGTGGGCGGTTGCTAGGCATATGTAACACGTCCTAACCAACTCAATTAATGAAGGTTG